ATATCCCCGGATGGTTTGGTTTAGCTGCTGGGCGAGGCGTACGGCTCCTGCGTGTGCGGGCTGGTGGTGTCTGGGCTTTGCCCGATTCCAGCTCAGAAGCGTGGATTTCTGGGTTATCCCTGGTCGGTCTGGGTGCTTAGGTGTTGCTTTGTTTGCCATCTCGTCTTTGGGGTTGATTATGCCGCGGCCAAGGCTCGATGAGAACCGGCGTGACGCTATCCTCGTGCCTGTCAGCTGCTGTAACGAGTGATGGAGAATGCCGCGCTATATTTGGTGCTAAAATTCTGGTTCGCGTTGGATGGATATACCTCTGTTTTGTGGCTTTTAGGCTGGGCTTGCATGGAAGGCGTGCTGTAGTGATGTGCTGATGGGGGCTGGCGATGCAGCTGCAGCCTGAAGCGAATATCCATGGGGGTAGTAGTTTGCGGTGGAATATATAGTACCATATTTAGCTCATGTTTTGGTGTGGGAAACTCTGTTTTGGCAAACTTTGTTGATGATAGAGCCTGCAAACTGCTCAGGTGAAATTTGAGTGCTCTTGTAATGCCAGGCGCAGTTTCAGACAGTCTTCAGTGTGAATGGAAAGTCATCTCTCCTAGATAACCAGGCATAACGTGAGACATTCCATGCTGATGTTTGAGAATTTGCATAGGAGCTGCTTTGCCCATAGGAACGGGGAATTAGAGAGATGGCATATTCCGCCTGGCCTTGGACATATGCACACCAATGCTCTTTTAGAACTATTTTTGAGATGGAGGCAATTCCCTGTCCATGTCAAGCCTTATCTGCACATTCATGACCTGCCGAGTGAATTTGGAGATGGTCTATGGATAACTTTCATCATTATAGGTCTGCCTGTGCATTGTATTTTTGGTATGAATAGTCATCAAGTTTTTGGTCCCTATTCTTCTACGAATACATTTTCAGTTTCATTGAATTGTTCACAAGCTTGCTGATAAAATAGGACATTCTGGTCAGCATAGCTTAAAAAATAATGCAGTGCAGCCAACTAGGTGTTTCAGTGGAACGGGTTTGTGCATTATCTTTGATTCTCTGCTCCCACCAATCTATGCAGTCCTTGCCTCTTTGAGTTCATTGGCATCTCCTTACCTTCCGTTTTGGTGCACTCAAGTTACGCTCTTAACTGTACACAATACAATTACAGGCACTTCGGCTGAAGCTGGTGGACCAGATGGGTTGAGGAAGTGCAAATCTGATTCTAAAGCTATTTCAAGTGTTCTTGCTCCTCCGAAAGATGTGGAGGACCTGCAAACAGAAGGATATGGAAATGTCAACATTTTCACATACAACGAACTGCGAGCAGCCACAAAGAACTTTCGGCCTGATCAGATTCTTGGGGAGGGTGGGTTTGGAGTTGTTTACAAAGGCGTCATCGATGAAAATGTTAGAATAGGTTTTCCATCCAGACAGGTTGCTGTGAAAGAACTGAACCCAGAAGGTTTTCAAGGAGACAAGGAATGGTTGGTAAGTCTCCTTGCATCCTTACGTTTACTGAACCTGTATGTACATCAATAAGTCATGTTAATTTCTACATTATGTGTATTGATCAAAGCATTTGTTCCTGATCTTTGTCCGAGCATAACTCATCTTGTTTATCTTTTAAGAATTGACTTTTAACGTAGTATCAGCACTAGGTGAAAGAGTGCATCTCTACTTAAAGAACATACTGTTGTGGTTGGTCATAGGTGGGTGAATGACTGTAACACTACACCTGTCATCATTTAATGGTTTTCTGTTGTGTTTTCAGGCAGAAGTCAACTATCTTGGGCAACTTAGTCATGCAAATCTAGTCGAACTGATTGGCTATTGCTGCGAGGGTTCACATAGATTACTTGTCTACGAGTACATGGCTTGTGGCAGTCTTGAAAAGCACCTTTTTCGACGTAAGCTCTAACTCTCACCTTCTTGAGAACTCCACTAACGTGCTCTTTAACTTTCATCGGTTATGGCAGCATAACCTGCGCCCATTTACCTATGCAATGAAATATTAGTTCTGAACAAGATGTTTTAGAATAAGCAAAGTCAACATTCTCAAACCTTGACTGACAATGAGTGGTAGTGTCTGCTTCCAAGTAGCTCTTGAAATTTAGCTACTGCATTTGTCAAGTTTGTCAGGTGACAACTATATAAGTGATCTGAATTGTTCAGTTGGTTCGTGATAGCATATTATGAGTTTATGACCTACCATCTGCATACAGTACACATGGCAACTTGGCTATAAAGATACTACCTCTGTCCCGTAATGTAAGACGTTTTCCGACACTAGTGTAGTGCTAAAAAATGTCTTATATTATGGGACGGAGGGAGTACAATGTAATAAAATTGAAGTGGCAGATAAACAGCAATTACCATTCACCAACATGGTAAAAAAATGTTTGCCTGGTAGGTTCTGAATCTAGCTTGCTTCCTTATTATTTATATATTGATTGAACATGTTTAGTTGATTAGGTCATCAACATAAAATATGTGAACAATGAGAAGACAATCGGTGACAGGAAAATATGCCAAGCGGATTGGTACAAATACCATGTTGACAGTAGTCATATGCGTGTTTTCTGTTAAAGGGAACATTTCATTGATTATCTTCTTGGTTGTAATTAACAGGGGTTTGCCTTAATATGCCATGGTCGACTCGCATGAAGATTGCGCTTGGTGCAGCAAGGGGGCTTGAGTACCTCCACGGAGCTGAGAGATCCATTATCTATAGGGATTTCAAGACATCAAACATCTTGCTAGATGCGGTTCGTATTTCAGCTTTGATATCATTGTCCAATTCAATCACTGTTATGCCCGTCAATATATCAAGCTTTTTTGTGTTCCCAGCTGAGTGACTTATGGCAAAATATATTTTCTGTTTACAAGCGATGCAGTAATTATGTTTTTCTGATGTATTTTGCCTCTTTATGAAGAATATTAATGTTAATATCCAGATGTGTAACTCTGTATTAAATGTCAAATGAACTGCCAAATTGATCATATGTTTTTAGTTTTTACCCTTGTTGCTCCACAATGCTTCTGCAGTTCTGCGTGTCATGGCACCATCATTTAGAAGTAGATGACGTCTCATTAACTGTATCCTCATTCATACTGTAGAAATTCAGGAGACTTCATGACGTGATGTTATGTTTGAAGATAGTGTCTCGGTCTCACTCTGTATTTTTTTGAGACTTCATAACTCTGTGTCTAACTCTGTGTTACCATTGCAGGATTATAATGCTAAGCTTTCAGACTTTGGCCTAGCAAGAACTGGACCTAGTGGAGACCAAACCCATGTCTCAACTCGGGTCATGGGAACTTATGGCTATGCAGCTCCTGAATATGTGATGACTGGTGAGCCAATCCTCTCCCAGAAGGAATTTTAGTGAACATTTATGGTTTCAAGAAAGAATACACAGTGCATCTGACTCACAATTTTGTGTGTGTTAATTCAACCATGTGTTTTGTTACAGGCCATTTGACAGCACGGAGTGATGTTTATGGGTTTGGTGTTGTGCTTCTCGAGATGATTATTGGAAGGAGGGCTGTGGACAAGAGCCGACCAAGCCGTGAGCATAACTTAGTTGAGTGGGCACGCCCCCTCCTTGTTCACAACCGGAAGCTCTTCAGAATCATTGACCCTAGAATGGAAGGCCAATACTCCACCAAGGCTGCCATTGAAGTGGCCAGCCTTTGCTACCGGTGCTTGAGCCAGAACCCTAAAGGGCGGCCGACTATGAGCCAGGTTGTTGAAACCTTTGAGGAGGTTCAAAGCATGCCGGAATGCCAGGACATACTCCTGCAGAATTGTATGACCGGATCTGTGACGCTATACGAGGTCCCGAAGGAGCCTGTTGAGCATGTCGAGACAGAGAAGGCGAAGCAAGAACCAACAGCAAAGACTGATGCCGTGGCCGTGGGCGTGCCACCGCCAAACGGAAAGCCAGTGCCCCAGAGCAGGAGGACGCGGCCAGCAAACGGCAGGAGCAAGAGCGAGCCGCCTCTGGAGTGCAAGCTGTACATCCCTTCGCCTGACTCCGACGGGCATCAGCTGGGGCTGGAAGCCCTGGCATCGCCCCCTTCCAGAAACAGCAGCAGGGACGATCCTCCTCCGGTGGACGAAGATCTGTACAAGATATAAAGTAATAACAGCAGTTTTTGACGAGGCTCAACAAGCCTCTGTTTACCCGTGTCGTCTCAGTGTCGCCATCCATCTTGTTGTCAAGATCGATCAGTCAGTCAGTCAGTCAGCTGGTGTTTTTGTTTTTTCTTCTGATGGCGGAACTACCAAAGCTAGGGTTCTTGTTCTTGCGGTTAGCGAATTGTATGTAGAGAGAGGGGCGTCGTGGGAAGCATGTAATGTGAGTTCCATGATGGTGTTCGTGCTGTAAACTCGGAACAGTTCTCTGGGAAAGATCCACACCAAAATGGAAATTGAGAGATTTGTCTTGTCGCCGCAGCCCGTTTCCGTTCGAGTTCATTTGCATGCATATATGATTGTTCTCCATTGTAAGCATGAACAGGTCTTACTGGAAATCATGGCCAAGATGGGAAAAGCTTGAATGTTCAGTGACAAGTTGGAACTGAAACTGTGATCCGAATTCTGGGGTTACGGTTCCAGTTTAGATTATCGAGACGGGTTTCCGTTTCGATGATGTCGTAGTTGGACTGGGTTCGTCGATTCAACTTTCAAATACGAATTCAAATCGGCTACAAAATACAATGTTGTTTCTCTCTCCCTTTTTTGTTTGGCTGGCAAAAGAAATAGTTGAGCCCGGTGTTCTGTTCATCTAACCCTGAACCTGAACTCAACTGAACTTTCTGAAACCCTTCGAGATCTGTGAGTTGCTGACACCATCGCCGCCGCCACCATATCCCCATACACAGCGACGGCAAGGTGGCAGCCACCGCTCACCGTCGCTCCCCGCCGCCGCAACCCCTTGGGGCACGGACACGCACGAGTGCCCTAATCCCCAAATCCATCTGCACCGCCGAGCCCGTACATGCTCGCCAAGTTCCGGCCCCTCATGGCGGCGGCACCGACGACGAAGGCCGCCCCCGCCGTGGCGTTCTCCACGGCGGCGGAGCGGGACGGCTACGCGCAGTACAACCACACCGACGCGTGCCAGCACCTCCGGTGGACAGCCAGGTAACCTCCCATCCCCTCCCCTCCTCGCCTCATCTCACATGGCGTTTCAGGGCATAATATGGGTTGCTTGGCTACCTGTTTCGGCTGTACAGGGAGAGCTACGAGTACATGTACGCGCGGCCGTGGAGCAGGGTGGTCGACTTCTACGCCGAGCTCGTGCGCACCGGCGCCGGGGCGCAGGGGCTGGCCGAGCTGTTTAGGAAAGACGAGGTCTGTGGAAAACAGTAGAATTTGGCACCAAATTTAGATTCTGAATTTCATGGTTTGATTGATGATTGGATGCATGAATAAGTGTTCATGCCAGTAGCAATTCTTTTTCTGTTGTGATGACAAATGCTGATTCTTTTCCCAACTAAGTATATTTAGTGCTTATCTTAATAGAAAATTGCAAGTGAATATCTTCCAAAAACAATTCCAAGACCAGTTGCTTGGACAAACACTAGAGTATTTTGCATTAACCTGCCATTGCTAACGTAGAAGCGGCACAGAGCCATCGGCGGTGGTGACTAGAAACTCTGAGATCACTCGTATTAGTGCACATGATGGATTTTCAGGATTTCCAAGTAGGGCCTTTTAATGCATTTTATACTGTTTACTGATGTCTTATCAGATTTTCTTTCTGCAGAAAGATCATACTCGTGATACAAATGGAGAGGAGCCTTTAACATCAACTGGAAAACAAATGTCTGTTAAATCCTCCAAAGCCCGAGGAGGCAGGTGGGAAAGAGCAAACTTTAAGGTTGTTCTTTCATATCATGGGGGGTCGTTTGATGGTTGGCAGAAGCAGCCTGGCCTCAACACTGTTCAAGGGTAAGAATAATCTCATTGCTGTAAGTTTGTTTTACAGTTTTCTTCAACCTTTTCTCCGGATCACTTTCTTTATATTTGAAGGCGGATTAGAACTACTGAAGTTATTTATTTCACTCTGTGTTGATTGCAGGTTAGTGGAAAAACATCTTGGACAATTTGTCGATGAGAGAAAAGCTAAACAACTTCGAGAAAGATCTTTGCCGGTAGAAGGCCGTGCCACTGTTGCTGGGCGCACTGACAAAGGGGTGACTGCTCTTCAGCAAGTCTGCTCATTTTGTTAGTTACACTTGAGAACACATACTGACGCATTGCCTCTATCTACTTTTAATCATGTCTATAAAGTATAAACTTGTTATGATCATATCAACTTGTCTTGAGTCTGAAAGCTTATGTTTAGTTGTTGTTAGAACTTTGGCGTGCTTAACTTTAAACTGTGGTTCTCGATGGATAGAAGCAAATCATAGAAGTTATTTGCTTCTCGTTGACCTACTTTAGCAAATATTTACCTGTCACAGTGTACCGCAACTCTGGTGGAAAACAAAAAATTGCCTGAACATTTCTTTGTGTGCTAATGTTCCTTTTTGGCTGATTTTACTCGAGTAATGCATGCCATGTATTTAACTGGGTTTGAGTGACAGAACTTACTGGTTGCATAAACTTACTGAAGTTAGATTGTCCATGTGTGCTTATGTGAAAATTTACCTCAGTAGGCTTGGTCCACCACTTCTGATAACTGATGTGAAATGCTTACTTTTAACCGCCTTAGATACGTGGAGAAAGGATGTACAGCCTGGTGACATAAAAGACACAATAAATGAGGCTGCACCAGATAAAATCAAATCTTTGGCTGTGTCAGAGGTATTTTCCCTTGCTCTTGCAGAAGATATCGTTGCTAGTAATATGAATGCTAGCGATTGTATTCGATATCGAGTTATTGACTAGCTTCCTTTAATAGCTATTTTCTGGTTTGAGACTACCACAGCATGTTTTATTTTTGTGTTTGAATGTTTTGAGAATACCTTGATCCCCACCATACAGGATGTTATGCTAAATATTAACTGATGCCCTCATTTGCAGGTCTCACGTGAATTTCATCCTAATTTTTCAGCCAAATGGAGGAGATACCTGTATATATTTCCTCTTGATGGGGATGCTAAATCAATATCAGAGGATGAACAATCCTCTACGAGACTAGAGAATCCTGAATTCAAAGCACCTCAGAGCTTTGATGTGGCCAAGGTTGACAAAATCATTAGGCAACTGGAAGGAAAAATGCTATCTTATAAAATATTTGCACGTGATACACAAGCTTCACGCAGCGAGTAAGTTTCATATATCATAACATGCTTTGTATTTTTCAAGTATAGAGATTATTCCTCATGTGGATTAGCAATAGTTTCATCATGTAATTCTGACATGGTTGTTCACTACAGACCTTCCTGAATTTGCATGCCACTCTTCATTAGTGCTTGCTATGAGCATTATGCGTTCTTATTAGATAATCTCAGTGTCTCTTATATTATACATGCTCTCGAGTTCAATAAACTCATCAGTCACTTCACTTGATGCCCTGCTGTTTTTGCAGCGGCCCAGCTACGGAGTGTTTTATGTACCATTCTCGGGCTGCAGTGACCAAACTCTATTCTGCTGATGAGGTGATTCTAGTATGCTCACTTTGTCTCCGCTTAATGCATACATTCATTTATCAAGTGCAAAAGATCTGTGCACATACATCATCTCTGTTGAAATCTTATGTTCAGTTCTTGTCTTCCATTTTCACAGAATTGCAAAGAAGGCACAACGGTCATGTGCGTTGAGCTAGTTGCGAACAGATTCCTACGCAAGGTAATAATACAAGACACTGCTATATGTCCTACTCCCTCCATTCAACAATTATAAGATGTGCCAACTTTTTTTCTGATTCCGAGGTATATAGACACATTTTTAGTGTGTTTGTTCATTCATCTCAGTCCATACTAAAATATAAAAAACATCTTATAATTATGAACGGAGGGAGTACTATTTATTCTCAACCACTCTCTGAACTCTGGTTTAATTTGTGACGAACAGATGGTTAGGGTTCTTGTTGCGACCAGCATCAGAGAGGCTGCTGCTGGAGCCGACGAAGACGCCTTGCTGAACCTGATGGACGCCACTTGCAGGCGCGCAACGGCTCCCCCGGCGCCCGCAGAGGGCCTCTGCCTTGTAGACGTTGGCTATGAAGATTTCGACGAACAGAGGTGCTTCATTGTTGACTAAACAAACTCTCCATGCTAGGGCAAAAAGAACAACATGCCCGATTCTTCAACAAGTGAAGATCAAACCAGCCCGGTTCTGGTTTGAGGATCCTACTCCTATATATGTCTCAGACGTCAGCCTGGCATGCTTCTCAATTGAATTTCGGAGCTGGAGCTCAGAAATATTCCTATTCCTATTCCTCTATTCATTCACAATTGTATTTCGGCGGTGGAGCTCTTCAAATATTTTGGCGTTGAAATCACAGATAAAACATTTGTGAAGCACACATGATTTAATACGTTGCCGAACAAGCCACATAGAATCAACACGAGGTAATAAGCTTTCTTAACCATCCATGCAAAAGAAGCAACACAACAAACCTCTCAGATGGTACAACAAAAGGGAACTAAGATGACATCTTCAGCTTAACTCTCACAAGCCAAGCCGTCAATGAGATGCTGCTTTGTAAGAGCTCGGATTCTAACCTTGTGTCTTAATTTCTGTGGGGCTGTCGGGATTGATCTCCAATGTTGTCCATCAAAACAAACACACAAAACATCCGCGGACACGTCCTGGACAGCGGTGGTGGAGCCGACCATTCAACCCGGTGCACCAATTGACTGCCCCTTAAAAAAACCCAAACCAAATGCTCATCATGTAGTCTCAGTCCGATTCATCGATCGATAGCAATTCAACCGTGGATATAAATCCAATAAAAGCGCCGGATGCTCATCGGTGAGAGGAATGAGCAGAAGTAGGAGACGAATCAGCTGAAGTACGAGAGGAATCAGCTCAAAAGTATGAAGGCTGCTTTTATCAAAGAAGGACAAGCGAATAGGCAGAAGCTTCATAAGATCAAGGCAATCATTGAAGAGTAACACTATTATGTTAAGTTCATCCACTACCTATCTTAGTTGTTAAGCTACTATGTTTAGTTGATCAAGTACCCATTTTAGTTTTTAAGCTGCTATGTTTAGTTGATCGAGTACTTATCTTATTAGTTGTTAAGCTGCTATGTTTAGTTTGATCGAGTACCTATCTTATCAGTTGTTAAACTCCTGCTGCCATTCTTGGTTGGGAAACCGATGTTGTGCAAATTTTCTTTTATACATATTTTTTTTCACATTGTGGCTTGCCGCCAACATGGCATGTCACTGTTGATGGAATATTATTGATGACGCTGCACATGAGGCACGTCATTAGTACATATGTTAGTGGTGGCGTGACCTGCCAACGCTCCAGCGCCAGCCTTCAGGTGCTATCTAACCCTCCAGCTGGATGATTCGGATACCGGTCTGAATGACCAGGGCAATACCCGAATGATCCAAAGAAGGGGCGTCGACCCGTTGGTTGGGCAGCTGGGTAGCCGCCAACCCACCCAAGTTCAAGCTCCGGCTTTGACATGCAGTGCTCGTGAAGTTTCTTCTATAAAAAATGCCAACGAGGGTTAGCCTTTGTGTTGGTCTCTTTTTTTTAATACCCGGATGATCCGGAATGATGTCCGGATGATTCGGTAGAGAGCACATGAAATGATGTTTTTCACAAGGGATTTTACCTAAGCCATTTTTGTGATATGGTGAGAATGGGATAATGGCTAAGGCACTGTTTGTAGGGCTGTGAAAAAGTAAGATGACTGCGACCAAATGACGACTTAAGCAAATCTTGAACGAATCCCTTTGATCCCCTCATAATAGTGCATGATTCCTACAACTCAAGATTTAAACGAGAAGCCCAATTTTTTTCTCGTTACCGTCACACTTGAGTCATATCTCATTTGATGAGTCCATGATCCCTACTCAATGATGCCAAGGGAGCAAATGTCTTGTGTATACACTTGACAAATGCAAGTAGTCCCCCTATATGTATTGTCATCAATATCAACATATGATTAAGGGCATGCTTGCATTTTCAGAGGCGCTCGTCCTCGAGCTGGTTCCCGAGACGGAAGGGAGCACGGTGGAAGAATGCAGCGCGGCAGCGGGCACAACTCCATGGACGACGTGGTTCCCTTGCCGCTTCCGCTTCACGCCAGCGGTGGAAGGAATTGGCGCGGCAGGGAAAAGACGGCCGCGGAGGCGCAGGAGGACAAAGCGACACCACCGATAGAGGCGGCGACAACGGTTCTGTGGAGC